TCTCATTCAACCCATCCAGAAAAACAGGGCAATAAATCACAACCTTCTACTTACCCGCTCCAAACAAAAGAAATTCTTTTCTAGCTACAAATTTAGCATCCGTGTCCAAAAAATGATTTGGGTTGAATTCTTCTGGTGTCTTCCATTGCTTTGGATCAAGAAGAATGGAATTCAGGTTTGGATTGATAAACGTACCCTGGAAGGAACAAACAGATGATTCAAGATGCATTTGGATCAGCATAGTTTGGCTTTATTCTTCACCGTCTCAATATTAAGATTTGTCTGTTTCTAGGCTTCATCTACCTGGAATGCTCAGACTCTCTTTCTTTCATCAGCGTTGCACCTCTGATTTGATGAAAACCAAACAGATTTGGTTGCATTAATTTTTTAAGGAAAACTATATACAGTTAAATTGCATGCTGTTTGCTGCAGATGACCCTTCTCTACATATGAAGGGCAACGAAACAGGCAAGGCTAAGATCCTCGCTCTCCTCAAAAGTTCAGGATAAATTTATCCAAATTTAACTCGTTAAGGCATATTTTTGTTTCAAATCCTCATTTCTGAATGTGACTGCTGATGCAAAAAGGGGAGAAAATTCTGTGTAAATGTATTTTAATAAGTAATTGTTGGATAGTAGAAAGATATTCAGGGGCAATTTATTAGAGACTGAAGTGCTTCTTGGGTCCCGATGATCAACTAGTCAACAAATGTTACACCACACATATGTTCAGAGATGATGCATACTATTTCCTAGATGGGAACTCCCTTTATGATCCTGCCCAGGGTCTCTCAGTCCCACCACCTTCACAATTGCATCTGATGGGGAACATGGGAGAGGGCCTTCTCTGTGGCTGCTCCCAGACTCTGGAACTCCCTCCCAATGGAGCCCAGGCTGGCCCCATCTTGGATGTCCTTCTACAAGCAGGCAAAGACCTTTCTCTTCAGGTAGGTTTTTTCTTAATAACCTGCTGGTTTTTTTTCTCAGAATAGAGCCATTATATGTCTGTTATTTTAAATATGTTTTGGTAGTAATTTACTGTTTTTAGATCTTAATACTGTTTATTTTTTAATACTTAAGCCACCTTGAGTTCTTTTTCGGAGAAAGATGGGATGTCCATCCATCCATCCATCCATCCATCCATCCATCCATCCATCCATCCATCCATCCAGACAGACAGACAGACAGACAGACAGACAGACAGACAGACAGACAGACAGACAGACAGACAGACAGACAGACAGACAGACAGACAGACAGACAGACAGACAGACAGACAGACAGACAGACAGACAGACAGACAGACAGACAGACAGACAGACAGACATCGACTAACCCATCCATCCATCCATCCATCCATCCATCCATCCATCCATCCATCCATCCATCCATCCATCCATCCATCCATCCATCCATCCATCCATCCGTAGATTTCACCTGGTAGATTTTCACCTGCCCATCAGGAGGTGAGTAGTGGCAGAACCTTCTCAGTTGTGTCTTCAAGAAGTCTCTCCTCAAGGTTCTAAGGTGACCTGAGAATCAGCCGTGGCCACCACACACTATCTGACATCAATGACTGTTTGTGAGTGGGTAAAGCCGTCTGTGCTAGTACCTGGAGAAATGCTTCCTGAAAATGCTGGCTCATTTCTAGAGTGAAAGAGACTTGCTAAAAGAGGGTTTTTGCATAGGGAAGGACCTCACAAACTTTACTAGAGAGCCATTAATTCATGGTAACTGTTGGGAATATACCTTGGGAATGAGAAAACCAAGGATATTCACATCTCTTGCCCATTGTCGGACGATCCTGAATAGGAAGGCGTATTTGACACGTAGGATCTCATGGATGACGGCGCTTGTGTAAGGCAATTTGTGCCAGTCTTGGTGGGAGAAAACCTGAGATGGACCAAAAACATCTTCCATCTCCTTGTAGACTTTATCTGAAGAAAATAGCGAAAGGGGAAAATGCCAATCCCTTTATTCTGAACAATCAAATCATCTCAAGCAACAACGGACAGAAAGGTATTCCATTGCTAATGATTTCAAACTGTTCTGTTAACAGGTATTAACTTGCAGAAACCTTTCTGTTTACTTCATCTAAAGTATACTTAATTGGACTATAATAGTAATAAGAATCATCTTCCCTCACATCAATTCTAATTTATGGGAACTTTTTTTCAGGGTGTGCAAGAAAGTTCAGTCTAGAGTCTGAGGTAGAGCAGTATGGTGATGGAGTATGAGAGAGACATCTGAGAGAGAGATTGACAGGGTTAAGGGATGATGGGGTAAAAGACTGTGCTGGATGATTTTAAAGGCTAGGAATAAACAACATTCTTTTTAAAGCTGCTATTTTAATAAAAACACATTTGTTCTATTCACACAAAGTGGTGCTGAGTTCAGTGCAGGAGGGCTGGCTATGTGAAGTGGTCTTATAAGGGCCTGAGTAAAGGAGCAAATATACACACAGATATGAGCAGCTAAAGGTTGGTGGCAAGAAGTTAAGGTGTGACTACACTGGAAAATCCATACCCTCCCTCTTTTCCTTCCTTCCTCTGGTCCCACCTTTGTGGGGCCTTTTATGGTTTCTGTGAAGCGGCTTTCTCATTTAAAGATCCTCAGACTGTTATATTTCTGAAAAACTTTTCGACAGAAAAATAACACGGAGAGATACTTCACAGGGTCAGCGTGCAGAACATCGAAAGTGTGAACAGTACTTTTGCAAAATTACGTCAGGATTCACAATTCAGAATGATTCACCGTGCCCCATCACCCCTGTGTTACTCCTTTCCCTTGCTTTCAAGGAACGCATGCAGGAATTACTGGTCTCTGGTGGCATGTGGCTTCAAACTAATTTACGTCAACAGAGCAATCAAGTAACAGCTGCTGTTCCTCAACAGTGTGCTACCTGAGGCAATCTTTTTTTTTCTTGAAGAAAGGGCCATTAAAGCAAAGTATTCTACTGCAAGAGGGTGTCTGCTTTGGGCCGAGCTTCCACAGCCTGCTCCTCATAAGATGTGTTGCACTACGATTCCCATCATGCTCAGTTAGCTTAACCAACAGAGGTTATCAGAAAGAGGAATGCTGTTATTTCAGGGTTCTGTCTGCCTTCCTCTTCTTTAGCTGCTCAAGCCATGTCGTATCTCTCTTACAAGGTAGAGGTACGTCTCTTGCTTTCATGATCCCTTCCCACTTCTCTTCACATCACTTTAATACCTCCAAATTTTGCCTAGTAGACAGCAATCCTTTGAAGAGGTCCATTGGATGTCTCTACCTCACTCCTCAAATCTTATTCCATTGCGCAATCCTCCTCCCCACGAAAAACCCATCTATATGGTTTTGATCGTGCCAAGCAACTGAAAAGTTGCAGATCTTTGGATTGGTTTGGATATGAAGTTCAGATCAGATCAGGGAGCATCCAGACTGCTCCAAACCAAATTGGGTCCTGATCCATAGGGTCAATATTAGAATCAAGGGACCTGTGCACAGACAGGCTTATTAATATCTTCTAGGGAAATATTTACCTTTCTAATTCCTAATTGCAAACTCATTCACTTGGGGGGGGGAGTCTTTTTTCATTCACTAAAAGTGGATGCTACATCAAATCTCGGTAGAAGCAAAAATGATGGAACTGAGGACGTCCTACTTTGGGCATATCATGAGAAAGCAAGACTCAGTGGAACAGACAATCATGCTAGGAAAGGTTGAAGACGGAAGGAAAAGAGGAAGACCAAATGTGAGATGAACTAACACCCTAAAGGAAGCCATGGTCTTCAGTGTGCAAGACCTGTTGGGGACACGACCTTGTGGAGGTCCCTTGTTCATAGGTTGCCATAAGTTGGAGGCAACTTGACAGTAGATAACAATAACATTGGGACCATTACTAGTTCTTCCTTCCACTTGCACAGGGCTCTCTTACCTTGGATATCTGGATAAGTTGCCATGAGAAGCAATGCCCACTGCAGAGTAGTGGCAGTGGTCTCCACCCCTGTGATAAAGAAGTCCAGGATACATTCAGCCAGGTTCTCCTCATTGTAAGTGGAGGTGACATCACTTTTCCTCTGTGGTTGACAATAGAGAAACAAAACTGTAACAACTAAAATTGCACAGGTGATTAAACACAAGGGTTGGAAATAACACATAAGATTTAAAACGTTAACATTAAAATCATTTGTTGTTTGGTTGTTAAGTCGCGTCCGATTCTTCATGACCCCATGGACCAGAGCACGGCAGGCCCTTCTGTCTTCTACTGCCTCCCACTGAAGTTGGGTCAAATTCATGTTGGTAGCTTCAGTGACACTGTCCAACCATCTCATCCTCTATCGTCCCCTTCACCTCTTGCCCTCACACTTTCCTAACATCAGGGTCTTTTCCAGGGAGTTTTCTCTTCTCGTGAGATGGCCAAAATATTGGAGCCTCGGCTTCAGGATCTGTCCTTGCAGGGAGCACTCAGGGTTGATTTCCTTCAGAATGGATAGGTTTGTTCTCCTTGCAGTCCAGGGGACTCTCAAGAGCCTCCTCTAGCACCACAATTCAAAAGCATCAATTATTCAGCGGCCATCCTTCTTTATGGTCCAGCTCTCACTTCCATACATCACTACAGGGAAAACCATAGCTTTGACTATGTGGACTTTTGTCGGCAAGGTGATGTCTCTCTTTTTTAAAATGCAGTCTAGGTTTGTCATCGCTTTCCTCCCAAGAAGCAGGCATATTCTAATTAAAATCACTACTTTCACATTAACAAGGGAACAAACCAATTGATTCATCTAAAGAATAACATATTTGTAGTAAAGTCCAAAGGTTTTAATGTGACTTTTGCAAGAAATATCAGATATAGTAGCCCTTTCAGGTGAAACAGGAGCAATTTTCTAAGCTCTGGTTAAAAGAATATGGTATTTCTTGCTGTTTCACTTCCTGACTGAGAAAAGGAAATGGAAATTAATCCTTAAAATTAATTGGAATAATGTTAAAACCATGAAAATATCTTTCAACACTCAAATCATATCCTGCTATTTTAGAACCCCCCATCCCAGGCCATTTTACTTAAACTGCTTAACTGTATCCTCAACAAAGGCTCTAAGGACAGTATTTTCAATGGATAATTACTGGAGAAGGTATATAATCTACATTTCTCCCTTCCACAACACTGAGGTTAGGAGCACCAGACCACCATATAGTTCAAAATTCGTGTATGCCCCCCAAAGCATAAAAAGTTAATCCACACACATACACACACACTTCCCCCAACCCCATGTCGGCCTCCCAGCATGCCCCAGCACCCTCCCTGGCCACCACATGGAGTCACCATGACAGGACAACGGCCAGCCAGTCCACTGCTATGAGACTGGGGGCTACTACATGGCCAACAACAGGGCCTTATATAAGCCGTAGACCCGCCATTCTCAGGCCAGTTCTGGAGATGAATAGCAGCCGTGATTGAATATTTATTCATTTGTTGAAATATTTCTTGAAATATTTATTTCTTGAAATATTTATTTATTTACTGGTTGGTTGGTTGGTTGGTTGGTTGGTTGGTTGGTTGGTTGGTTGGTTGGTTGGTTGGTTGGTTGGTTGGTTGATTGATTGATTGATTGGTTGGTTGGTTGGTTGGTTGGTTGATTGATTGATTGATTGATTGATTGATTGATTGATTGATTGATTGATTGATTGGGGGAATATACAGTATAACCAAAATTGTGCTGCTCAGATCCATGCAATTCAATGGAGAACTGTACTTTCATGGCTGACAAGCTAGCAGATGGGCTGCAAGGAGAGACAAGGACTAAACACAAGCATTATCCACAGCCCAGAGACTCCTCTTGTCGAAGGATTCTGCAGCTTTTGCTTAGCAAAGAAAGTGATTAATCGTTGGCCACCACTGCACCCATACACAGAATGGATACTTACTTCCGCCATCTTAAGGAGATAAAAGTCAATGAAATCCTGTGGCTCATGAGGCTGGCGATGTTCCTTATGCTTCTTTATCTCCTTCTTTATAAGTGAAAGCACAAACTCCCTTGCCAACAATGCTTTCTTCTGTGGCCCTCGGAGACAACTCATGACCAATGGGAACATTCTCTTCAGCTACAGGGAGACAAAGGCAGGGAGACAAAAAGAAAGAATTGTTTTTAATTGTTTTAACTGTTTTAGCTTATAATGTTTGATGGAACCCGCCCGGAGTAGACTTTGTCTAAAAGGCAAGGATAGAAATCAAATCAAATCAAATCAAATCAAATCAAATCAAATCAAATCAAATCAAATCAAATCTAAATAAATATAATAAAGGCAGAGCCCGGCAAATCCAACTCTAAGAGGAGACCCAGAAAAATGGTCCACAACTCAACTCCTTTTTGGGCTATTACTGTGGTATCAACAGAAATTTAATTCCCCCCAAGTTGAGGGATTTAATCCCTTAGGGTGATTAAGTCAGCAGTGCCAAAATTGGGTAGGGAAACCTCCCCATCCATCCATCCATCCATCCATCCATCCATCCATCCATCCATCCATCCATCCATCCATCATCCATCCATCCATCCATCCATCCATCCATCCATCCATCCATCCATCCATTCTCATTCTCTCTCTCTCTCTCTCTCGCTTTGTGCTCTTCTATTGTCTTTCTCTATCTCCCCCAACTCTCTCTCTCTCTAGACCAAAACACCTATGTATCCTTTAGGGTCTTTCAACCTTTTCCCCCCCTTGCTTCTTCCCAACTACGGAGGTTCTCCGCATGCTGAGAGGGAGCTACAACCATTGGTCGGAAAGTAGAACAGTACTTACTGCATAAATGAAGCTGCCTCCGGATTTTAAGGCCCGTTCAAGTTCTTCAGTCAGTTTCCGGAAATGTTCGTCTTTGATGGAATACTGACGTGCAAAAGCCGTGGCACACACCATACTGGAGACGGCGCTAATGATGGGTGGCAAAGGATCCAGGGGCTCCCCTGAAGACCAAGGAAAGGGCAGATATTTTAATCCTGCTCCCTTCTTTACGCTGAGAGGGGAGTTTCAGGGTGAGGCTGAATAAACTTTTTCTATTAAAATATAACAGAACTGGTTTTCTGGTTTTCGCTGCAAGCTGTACCGGAGGGGGACATGTGAAGAGCAGATTCTGTGCCAGCATCTTACTATCTTCATGTTACATACCCTTGGCTTGTGCAAAGATGTCTGCAAGGCGATGAGCTTCCTCTCCTATCTGGTGTTCAACGCTTTTCTTCCCCCTCCCCAGCTGCTGCAGGGTGGCCTGTCCGATCTGCTTCTGCTGCTTCCCGATATGCACAGGCGAAAAGACATCTGAGGTGAGATAAGAATCAGCGAGGAGTGATTAATTTCAAAGATGCACAGTTTAAAGGCTGTTTACATTGGGAGGGAGTGCTGCAAGTGAGGGTGGCAGCAAACCTCCACGCCAACCTCTGTTGAGCCTTCTTTGCAGTGGCTCCAATGTTGGAGAACCAGCTCCCGGCGCAGCTACGCCTGGACCCTGCCTGCTAATGTTCAAAGGTGAAGGTTCCCCTTGACATTTAGTCCAGTCGTGTCCGACTCAAGGGTGCAGTGCTCATCCCCGTCGCCAAGCCGTAGAGCCAGCGTTTGTCCATAGACAGTTCCCGTGGTCACGTGGCCAGCGCAACTAGACACAAAACACCATTACCTTCCCACCAAAGTGGTACCTATTTATCTACTCGCATTTTACATGCTTTTGAAAGGCTAGGTTGGCAGTAGCTGGGACAAGCGATGGGAGCTCACTCCGTCGCTTGGATTCAATCTTACGATGGCTGGTCTTCCGACCTTGCAGCACAGAGGCTTCTGCGGTTTAACCCGCAGCACCACCACGTCCCCATATTCAGGAGACAACTTACGCGGTTTAACCCGCAGCACTGCCACGTCCCCATATTCAGAAGACAACTTAAAACGTTGCTTTCCAGGGAGGCTTTCCACACCGACTCAGTTTGATTTTACACTCCCTGTCCTGCTGTCATACAGAGAATTGTCTTTGGTGTCTTATATTCCTTTTCTACTAATGTTTTCACTCTTATGTACTTACTGTTTAGTACTGTATGTTTTATCTGTTGTGGTAAAGTACTCAGAACAGTGCTTTGCACTAGTGGGATGGTGTATATATCAAATCAGGTCAAAACAATCCATCCATTAATAAAATTTTAGAGGCATGCTTTCAAAAGTATTCCTACATGTTCATAGAATCGTAGAATTGTCATAGGGTTGGCAGGGAGCTTGGAGGACCTCTAGTCAAACCCCTGCCCAAGGCAGGAGACCTCCTACCATCTTGAACCTCATACCCATCCCAGACAGGTAGCTGTCCAATCTTGTCTTGAAACCCTCCAGCGATGGGCCCCCATCACATTGGGAGGCAAGCCGTTCCACTGCTTCATGGTTCTCACCAGCAGGAATTTCCTCCTTATTTCCAGGTTGGGTCTCCCTCTGATGAGTTCCCACCTATGGGTTCTTGTCCTACCCTCAGGCACCATGGAGAATAAATCGATGCCCTCTTCCTTGGGGCAACCCTTCAGATATTGGAAGACTGCTAACATACCAGTCTTCTCTTTGTTAAATCTCCCCTCAGTCTTCTCTTCGTTAAGCTATACATAAGGTAAAGGTTGCCCTTGAAATTTCGTCCAGTCGTGTCCTACTCTAGGGCACAGTGCTCATCCCCGTCTCCAAGCCGTAGAGCCAGCGTTTGTCTGAAGACAGTTTCCGTGGCCACGTGGCCAGCACAGCTAGACATGGAACGCTGTTACCTTCCCACCGAGGTGGTACCTATTTATCTACTCACATTTTTACATGCTTTCGAACTGCTAGGTTGGCAGGAGCTGGGACAAGCAATGGGAGCTCACTCCCTCACAACCAAGCAGTTGCTTGTCCCAGCTCCTGCCAACCTAGCAGTTCCAAAGCATGTAAATGCAAGTAGATAAATATTCCTAGTTATTTTAGTCGTTCTTCATAGGATTTAGCCTCCAGTCCCCTTATCATCTTTGTTAAGGGGACTGTTATCTAGCAATCAGTTATGGAGGGGATATGCAAAGTCTTTTGGGGGGTTATGACTTACAGATAGGTGTGAAATATGGAAATCTTGCCTCGTTGTGATTTTCACTTGCACCCCACACAGTGGTTTAGTATACCAGAGCCACAAATATTAATGGTAAGGTGGGAGTCAGCACATCCCCCATGTTTCCTCTCCTGTCTCCTGGGGATCCCTATGCAAGAGAAATGCCATTCTGTTCGGGAACCGTAATAATTTATTACTGAGCTATGATTACGAATTCATCAAAACTCGTACAGCAACTGCTACAAGGAATAGAACTACAGACGACCAAAGTTCAGAACACACTCTTGCCCTCTGGGTGAATGTTCATGTTTCCTCTCCTGTCTCCTGGGGATCCCTATGCAAGAGAAATGCCATTCTGTTCGGGAACCGTAATAATCTATTACCAAGCTATGATTACGAATTCATCAAAACTCGTACAGCAACTGCTACAAGGAATAGAACTACAGATGACCAAAGTTCAGAACACACTTTTGCCTTCTGGGTGAATGTTAAAGTCGTGTCCCATGATAATCTTGATACCGAAATACATAGGGCACTTGCTATTTCCAGAGCTGGTGCACTGTGGAAATCTTAAATCTCTGCATGACTTTAATATTCAGGGATAAACAGTCAAATTTGCCTGTTTTGCTTTCAACAATGCTCATGTTTTTTGGAAGAGCAACACGTCTCTATCCTGTTCTTTTCCAGCCTATTCAAGAAAAATCCACACAGGGTACTCCATGGGTGTTTTCACATGCATGGACATCCACGTCCATTCCTGTTTCGCTTACACAGACATTTTTCTCAAGCAGTTTGCCCTGAATTCACTCTTTTGGTATCTATTTTGGAACACGATTTTTGGAGAAATGGGATGGTGGAAAGGTCATTACACTCAGCATGCCATAGTGGACAGAGTGGCGAACGAGGCCTCAAGAGGGCCTCCTGCTCAGCTATAGAAACTACCTGGGAGAGGAGTTGGAACTGGGAAAACCACTCCTTAAACACCTCACGTCGGGCCTGTCCACCCTGTGAAATATGGTGTGATCCAACCATGCTTAAAAGATCCTTATCTTTTAAGTGCCATCTATTTTAGCTCCAGTACCTCTCTGGGAAGGCAGAACAAAGAGTTATTCTGCATCTCAATAAATCATTCCCAAAAGATTGCATGCCCTAGTCCTGTGCCAGAAAAGTGTGCTACAGCTCTCAAAGGGGAAGAACGAATTCTTTTAAGTAGAAACACAAGCTGACGAAGACTTTTTTCCATACCAAACGGTGCTATCAGGGAATCATATATCGTGACGATATGCCAGTGTGGACAGGCCAGCGGCATAGCATGAGTTGCCAGTACCCCAGAGCAAGGCAAGGATAGTGCCCGTTCAAGGTGGCCTTGGGAAGTGGCAGGGGAGGGGGCTTGGGGCTGGTGGCGCCCCCTCCCCACACCGCCCCCTCCCGAGTACAGCCGATCTGCACAACAAACTTACCCTTGCCAAAGGTTGCCACCTGAAGGAAGTGTCTTGCGAGTTGTTCTGTTTTTCCGGATTCCTTTGTGGGCTGCCATTTGGAAGAAAGAGAAATGTTAGGTTCTTCAGAGTCTTCCCCGTCTCATCCCCAAATTAATTCTTTATATCGAGGTGGACCTTCGACATGTAACTCTGACTGATGCTCAGGCACAGGCTCTATCTTTTATTGTGGCCTCTGTAATTATCTTTTGAATCTGCCCCAGACTTTGGAGAGGACCAGAGGGGTACCAGGCCCATCAGACGCTGCCCACCCTGATTTAGGATTTAGCCCCCTGTCCTCAAGACGTCAGCATGCTAACAAATTATATGAAGGAATAAGATTATTAGAGAAACGAGAAAAGACTAGGCATGGAGAGGGGTGTGTGGAATGCAACTCTACTTGTTTCGCTTTTTTAAAATTGTGAATGGCATGAGATGTCGGTTTGGCAGCTGTAAGTTGATGGTGTCAAGAGGATCTGCTGGAGGGAGATGTGGGCAGATTTGATATTAGGAGGCAGCAATACTCAGAAAACAGATTGCACCACACAATGGATTGTGTTGCAATCAAAGGAAAGGAGAGCAGATGGAAATAAGGAGTGCTGTTTGTTGTTTGCCACACATGGAACAAGGAAAGGTGTGTGTAGTTATAAACCACAGCAGTTTCACCCACTTTCAAGACAGGTAGGATTTGCCTGGTTTTAAACATAATTGGATCAATAACATGTTTAAAGAGATAAATACAGTAGTCCATATAAATGGGTGTTCAAAGGCATACATTGAAGAGCCTTTCAAAAATTTTGGACTGCACCTCCGCTGATTTTTAAGTTTGTAGTTAGTTTGTTTGAGTTAAAACAAACTGATTACAAAGAAACAGGGGCTGTCCTGTTTTATTGTTTCCCCTTCCACTCTTTTTAAAATCTTCTGAGCTTATATTTCTGTGGGCTGCTTCTTATGGTTTGAACCAAGTCTGTTCAACAAACATTCAAGAAAGACAACAAGCAAGAAGGATCTTGGAGTTGTCGTAGATCACAAGCTGAATATGAGCCAAGAGTGTGATGTGGCTACAAAAAAGGCCAATGCTATTTTAGGCAGTATTAACAGAAGTAATGTCTCCAAACCCCATGAGGTGCTAGTCCTCATCTATTCGGCACAGGTTAGGCCTCATCTTGAGCATTGTGTCCTGTTCTGGATACCGCACTTCAAGAAGGATGCTGACAAAGTTAAATAAGTTCAGAGGAGAGCAGCCAGGATGATTAGGGGGCTGGAAACGAAGCCCTTGGAGGAAAGAGTGAAAGAACTGGGCATGTTTAGTCTTAAGAAGGCTGAGGGGAGACAGGATAGCACTTTTCAAATATTTGAAAGACTGTCATTCAGAGGAGGGGCAGGATCTGTTCTCGATGATCCCAGAGTGCAGGACACACAACAATGGGCTCAAGTTACAGGCAGACAGATTTCAGTTGAATATCAGAAAAAACGTCCTAACTGTTAGAGCAGTAAGACAGTGGAAACAATTAGCTCGAGAGGTGGTAAGTGCTCCAGCACTGGAGGCATTCAAGATAAATTTAGACAACTCCCTAGTAGAGCAATGAGCAGAGGTTGTGCTCGATGGCTCTTCCAACTTCATTATTCTATGATTTTATGAACCTTTCCTGTTGCTTTTACTTGTTATGTGAAATTCATTCCTCTCAGGACATGCTTAAGGGGCTATTGGATACCGGATAAATGTTCTGTGACTGTGGAGAAATTCAATCAGTGCAGCACTTTGTTGTTGTTGTTTAGTCGTTTAGTCGTGTCCGACTCGTGACCCCATGGACCAGAGCACGCCAGGCCCTCCTGTCTTCCACTGCCTCCCAGAGTTTGGTCAAAGTCATGTTGGTCACTTCGCAGACACTGTCCAGCCATCTCGTCCTCTGTCGTCCCCTTCTCCTCTTGCCTTCACACTTTCCCAACATCAAGGTCTTTTCCAGGGAGTCTTCTCTTCTCATGAGATGGCCAAAGTAGTGGAGCCTCAGCTTCAGGATCTGTCCTTCCAGGGAGCACTCAGGGCTAATTTCCTTCAGAACGGATAGGGTTGTTCTCCTTGCAGTCCAGGGGACTCTCAAGAGTTTCCTCCAGCACCACGGTTCAAAAGCATCAGTTCTTCAGCGGTCAACCTTCTTTATGGTCCAGCTCTCACTTCCATACATCGCTACTGGAAAAACTTTAACTATGCGGACCTTTGTTGGCAAGGTGATTTTTCTGCTTTTTCAAATGCTATCTAGGTTTGTCCTCACTTTCCTCCCAAGAAGCAGGCGTCTCCATCTGCAGTGATCATGGAGCCCAAGAAAGTAAAATCTGTCTCTGCCTCCATATCTTCCCCTTCTATTTGCCAGGAGGTGATGGGACCAGTGGCCATTATCTCAGTTTTTTTGATGCTGAGTTTCAGGCCATTTTTTGCACTCTCCTCTTTCACCCTCATTACAAGGTTCTTTAATTCCTCCTCACTTTCTGCCAGCAGAGTGGTATCATCTGCACACTTACACACATGAAATTTATGCCCTACCACATGTACAACGATCTAGCAGATGGTCGAGATAATGCTATTTAAGTTGTTGTTGTTACTGTTGCTATTGTTGCTCTAGTTGGGCCTTTTCCAACCTCATGCCCACTAGACGTTTTGGACGACAACTCCCAGAATTCCTGGCCAATAATGAATGGAGGGTTCTGGGAGTCATAGTACAACAGACTTAGAGGGCACCAGCTAGGGGAAGGCTTCTGTATTTCATGGCATTTGTACTACTGAGTTTTATAGCACTTCGTTTACTGTTCCATGCTGCATTATAATCAGAGCCACTGGCCCTGGTAGCAGGGAAATTCCAAAAAAGTAACTTCTCTAGATTCTGATAACAATGTTGAGTGAAATAACGTTTCCTTCCCCAGAAGTTCAATCCTAATAATTTATTATAATAAACTTGATTCTACTTTTCGGTTTCTTCCTGTGCAATTGCTTTTTCATGAATTCAATGTTTTTATGGTTTGCTTTGTTGTGTGTTATTTTATATTTGTTCAGTGTAAGATGCCTTATATATACCACATGAGAGAGGCTTTAGTCTGTCTGATCCACCTAAGTTTAGCGATCTTCATTACAAAGATGAAATGAATTAATATTTGCTGTATAATAAATGCTTAAAAATAACTGAATAAATGGAATAAATAGAATGTGAATGTGAATACATAAATATGAGGAAGAAAATTATGAGACAATAATCATGAGAAAATTGGACCCTTAATAAACCAGTAATTGTGTGTAATTAAATTATCTCGGGGGGGGGCAATTCAACCTTAACTGAACGTATGCTGAATTATTGTGATTACTTAAATCTAAGCCTAAATAAACTGAGAACGTTCTGTAAATTAAAAAAAGTTGTAGAGACAATACACAAGAGCTGTAAAAACAACAACACTGTTCTGCATAAATGACTGAATATCCCTAAAAAGATTTATGCTAAACACAGGTCCCTAATATTGCCATAAATCCCTACCACTACTATTTAATGCCCTACAGAAAATTTAGGTTTTTTTGGCTTCCAACACCTGGAATTCCCTGCAGACTGAGGGAGAAAAGTTACATCTGTTATTACAACTCGCAGAATCTCACAAGCAACCTTAGTGGCCACGCTAGCTGTACTTTCCCCAAGTTCCGCATTTATCTACAATGATCACAGGAAGAAAACAATCAACTATTCAGGTTATTATTTTGAGAGCAGTACCTTAGTGAGAGTGTCTTGATAAAGCCTGATCGCAATCCTCCAGATGCCCCCAAAGACGGGAAGAGGAAATGGCCCGGGAGGGTAGCGTTTCCGCGACCAAAGCCGTCTCAGAAAGTGCAGAATCAGAAGACCCACCAGCACAGCAATAGAAAATAGCTGTATCACTGACATTACTCTGTCTCTGGTTGTGTAATTCTCTGAGTGTGCTGGGTGTTGTTCGTCCCGTGGCTTTGTTTTCCTCCTGTCTTTCAAGCCTCCGCGGGGAACACCCTTTAATGTCACTTACCTGTTAAGTGATCAGGTAAGTGATCTCCCCACACACCAGAGGCAAGTAGGCTTGGAATGAGGCATGTATGATTACAGCAATACTAATCCTAGCACATTATTTTTCCTGTACCGATGGATTAGGCATCCTTCAGATTCGAGAGACAAGGGTAACGTGCTCTGTCTTGGAACAGCGTCTCGTGTGGCTGAAAAGGCCAATTTGAGAGCGACCATCCCTTCCACACTGAAGACAAATACAATCTGTCCCCTGCCCAGCTCCATGATTTGGCTGGTTTCGGGACGGCCTCTTTGCCTCGGCCTGCTGGACAAGGGTCTCTTCAAATTGGGAGAAGCCATGATGCAACGCCTGCCTCCAGGCTGAATGCTCGGATGTCAGGGCTTCCCATCTGTTGAGATCCATTCCTAAGGCCTTCAGATCCCGCTTGCAGATCTCCTTGTATCGCAGCTGTGGTCTCCCTCTGAGGCAATTTCCCTGCACTCATTCTCCACACAGGAGGTTTTTTGGAATCCGACCATCAGCCATTCTCACAACATGTCTAAGCCAACGTAAATGTTGCTGTTTCAGTAATGTATACATGCTAACAATTCTAGCTGGTTCTAGGACTACTCTCTTTGGAACTTTGTTCCTGCACCATCAACTTGATTTACCAGGTCTGGTTAATGCTATTATTCGTCACTAAAGGAATCACGGACAAAACAGTCTAATGTTTTCAGCCAGTCTGATCCAACCCTGGGCTAGGGCAGGGTCTATGAAGAAACTAAGAAACGGAGGAACATGGGAGATGGGATCCACTCTGGATGCACCAGGAACAGATGGGCCCAGTTTGGCCTCCAGTGGGAGGGAGTTCCAAAGTCTGGGAGCACCAAGAGAGAAGGCTCTCACGCATGTCCCCACCAAGCGCACCTGTGAGGGTGGTGGGACTGAGATGAAGGACTCCCCTGATTATCTTAACATCCAAGCAGGTTCGTAGAGGGAGATGCAATCTTTGAGACTGCTTGGATCTAAGCTGTTTAGGGCTTTATAGGTGAGAACCAGCAGTTTGAATTGTGCCCAGCAATGGATCAGCAGCCAGTGGAGCTGCTTTAACAAAGGGGTTATGTGATCCCTATAAGCAGTCCCAATCTGCAATCTGGCTGCTGCATTTTGGATCTGTTGAAGTTTCCCCGACACTTTCTAGAGGCAGTGCCATATTGAACATGTTACAGTAATACGGTTGGGATGTAACAACGGCATGCGTCATCATGGCCAGATTAGACCTTTCCAAGAGAAGGCACATCTGGAATGGACTACAACTCCCAGAAACCCTGGCCAGCACAGCTAAAAGTGAAGGCTTCTGGGAGTTTTAGTCCAAGAGCATCGGGAGACCCACGGATGGGAACCATTGTCTTAGAGTCATAGGTAAATGTTTTCGACAGCTAAAAGTGAAGGCTTCTGGGAGTTTTAGTCCAAGAGCATTGGGAGACCCACAGATTGGAACCATTGTCTTGGAGTCATATGTGAATGTTTTAGTCTCTGTATTCTAACTCATATATCTGAGAAAGCAGACATGTTCCACGAAGGCTTATCTTAAAATATAACAGTCTTTAAGATATAACAAAGCTCTCTTTTTTCCCCTTTTGCATTGTGTTTCTTGTTGAAATGATTTCCAGCTGTTTCTCATGGAATGTTCTTCAGCTGCCAGAAATGAAGGCCTTATTCTCTTATCTCCTGAGAAGCAAACTTCAATACATGTTTTGCCTAGTTAGTCATCCTAATGAATAAGAAATGATATCAGCTGAGCTGTGAGGGGCTGGAAAGAACACCTATTTTCTTGAAAATTCTAGAGAATTGAGGATCTGATGGCAGACATGGGAGAATGATTTAGAAGGGAACTTTTGGAGTATAATGGGGACTCAAGAGCTTACTTTTAGGGTGCTTAGCTATCCCAACAGTAGGAAGCTTTGCTCTATTGCTGTTTTGCCTCACTTCAGAAATGAAGCTATGCAGTCCTCACCTTAAATAAGTGTTAGATTAGCTTACTTGTTTTATTGCATGTCCTCTTGTTTTCTGTAAATCTGTCTTGTCAGTAGGAAGCTTTGCTCTATTGCTGTTTTCCTTGCTTCAGAAATGAAGCTATGCTGCCCTCACATTAAATAAGTGTTAGATTAGCTTAATTGTTTTATTGAACGTCCTGTTGTTTTCTGTAAATCTGTATTGCTTTTTTATTTCTTGTTCTTTTTGCCTTCTTGTGTGTGTGTGTGTTGTAACAGTTTTATCCCTGGACTGGTCTGAAAGGGAAGGGCACAGACTTATGGGCTTTGGAGTCCCTGGGGTCACCGCCTACTCAGAGCCAGGCTATATGTGCTTGGAACTGAGGTTGCCATTAGAGTTTGTCGCCAGGGGTCAGTCAGCCTGCCTGAGTCTCTCACACACTTAGGATGTGAAAGGTAGCATGGCAGAGGGGCTAGATCAAAACCTGGGTATTGTCACAGAGTCAATTCGGCCATGGATGCTCTGAAAGATAAACTTATCCATGTGGCCATAAACTAGATCTTGTCTGTGAAATCTGTTCTTTTACTTGCCTAGAGTCCTCTGCTTTGTCCGTTCACACATTCAGATAACCATGGGCAGTCTATAGAGTGGTCTTACCCAGGTGTGTCCCATGTTAGCCTAGAACCAAACTTAAAATTCAGAATATTAAAAGGCACAGCACTGCTCTTTCAGCTAAGGTTGCACAATCAAGCAAGCACACGCTCAGTCAAAAAATTACTGTCGTGAACCTCGTAATTTTGTTTGTCGAATGGACACCTTTCCAAACACAAACCGTCTTGAAGTCTACAAATGGGCCAGGTTTTCTAGTGTAACACTTCTAAGTTCTGGGGGATAATTGTTTACTTAGATTTCTACTGATAACCTCGCAAACGCAATTTCACAAAATGAGTCTCTTCTTAATAAACAGTTACTGTATATAGCAAACGAGAGGAGCAATCATAACAAGAAAATGCTACAATTTCTGCACCCAAATCCTTGGCAAACAGCACCGATACAGAAGTTGCTTGTAAAATTGCAAAGCTGAAGTGTCGTTTTAAAATAAATTCAAACAAAAATCCAAGATAAATTCCTCAACTGGATGGAGTATCCATAAGAAAGAACAATCAAGCCCACAGGCAGAATCCTCAAAACCCTAGAATAAAACATCAATTCAATTGGGTATGCATGAATTTCCTATGTGGATTTTCACCCCTCTGTAGTGCTAGGAAGGACAACCTGCTAAAGGGTTATGGTGCCTTTTCCAGATGCTATCTTCCTATAAGGCAGTAGGTCCCAACCTTGGGTAACCCAGGTATTCTCGGACTACAACTCCCAGAAATTGTGGCTAGCAGAGCTGGTGGTAAAAGCTTCTGGGAATTGCAGTTCAAGATCACCTGGGTTACCCAAGGTTGGGAACCATTGGCATAGGGCATTCCCCAATATTAAAAGTAGGAATTTTGTAAGAAGCAAGATCTGGGACAAGGAAGGGGATTCTAGAGAGTGAGGAACTGTTTAATAAACAGGGCTTGTGAATGGCATTAGAGAGTCAACATTTTGCTAAGACTGCTTACTGGAAGGACAGATCCTGAAGCTTGGCCTTCTCATGAGAAGAGAAGACTCCCTGGAAAAGACCCTGATGTTGGTAAAGAGTGAAGGCAAGAGGAGAAGGGAATGACAGAGGACGAGATGGCTGGATAGGGTCACCGAAGGGACGAACATGAATTTGACCCAACTCCGGGAGGCAGTGGCAGACAGGAGGGCCTGGCGTGTTCCGGTCCGTGGGGTCACGAAGAGTCAAACTTAACAACTAAACAACAACAAAAACTCATGGCTGTTTTCCTATCAGTAAGCAGCCCAGCCCATTAATTTCATCTGGATCTTTTTATCAGATAAATTATGGAAGGTGAAGTTCTCTTATAGGCAGGCTGAGAAAGGTGGGAAGCAATGAAAGCAAAATGAGATCATTTCCAGGGTTGATGTAAGTTACTTTGCTTGACAGACAGATCATTGATGAATAGGAGAAGGAAAGAGTATGGTGAAGTCCTTTGCATGTGTACTCGGGAGTAAGCTTTTCGGGTCATAGAGGGGCATTTTCATGTACAGTATCTCCCCAGCTAATGATGTGGGAGTGTTTTCAGAATAATTCTCTGACCTGGAAATACTGCAAATCTTTTGCATGCATTTATACATTCATATACGCCCCACCTTTCTCCCAGTGCAAGGATCCAAGGTGTAGGTCAGAGAAAATTCATGTATGAATCCAGAGCACCAGCCAGTGGTGGAAGAGAAAATAGCAGACGCCTTTTGCTAGTTCCCATTGACAAAAAGCGACTGAATCAACCATTGAACAGTAATTCAGTACATAGAAGAATTCCATTGATTTAATAAGTTTATTGCAAATGGAGCTATAAGTATGATTCCGGCTTATAGGAGTATAAACACAGAGGGTTCATCTTGACATTTTAATTTGAGTCTAGTTCCACCCTGGCTTGATTTTGCTGGAAGGAGGGACAGAAGGGAAGGAATAAAGCCCATCAGGGTTTATGCCCACATAATTGTACAGGATAAGAGTATATACTATGTTGGCTCAGTAAAATTATATGTGAGACAGGAGATTAGACCACCTTCACATAGAAAGGAAAGACCAAGATCATCCACACGATTGTATTTCCAGTCACCATGTGACTGGTGTGAGAGCTGGACCGTTAAGGAAAATGATGGGGGAAACTGATTCATTTGAAATGTGGGGCTGGAGGAGAGTGTTGTGGATAATCCAGATGTAATCCGTTTTCACAGGTACAGTAAACCCTTTGCCTTCAGGAAAGAAAAATGTGGTTCCAATCACTGCTGCTATACGCCACAATCCTATAATGTAATATAGGTCAATTAGAAAATGGCCCTAGAAATCCAGCTAGACAAGTCTGTAGGGCCACATCCACCCAACGCTGCTGAAATGTAAATGGTATGTTGTTTAGTGAAATCATCCGTCAAGTAAATCAGCTTAGCATTGCCACATCCAGTCACCACTGACACCGTTCATTATAGACTACTGGAAGGGTGTATATCTCTAGACTCTCCCTTTTAATTATAATTCAGCACAAAAGGAGCCTTCCAGATCATTCAAAAGCTGGATCCCTCGTTGGTAATATTTGCTAACGCCTAATCATGGCGTGGGCCTAGTATTTATTCTCTCATTTGTTTTCTGATAACCAGACCTTAGGACATTACTAACTTGCAGTCATTGTTTGTTTGAGGTGCACACGGAGACTCACAGTGAAGTCTAACATTGATCTTGAAAGGAAATCCTGACCAACACAGTAATTTTTCAAAACCGAGGGAAATTCGATCGTCAGAAAAATCTGGCAATTTGGCACGAGAGTTTAGGCTGTCTCACGAGGACTCAAATGCCACAAAGCCTGAGAACGGGAAGCTGGTGCCTTCTCTAATTCACCCTGTAACTGCTGCTCATCAAGATGGCCCTCATGACGCTTTATGCAGAATAAACAGTGTATTTCTCTAACACAAGCCCTGCTTCTCATAAAACGCACATATCTAAATCACACTCCAGAATACACAAGAAATCTTTTATCTTTTTATTAATGGGTGATTTTTTTAAATGGTGAGAACTAGGCCCATTGGCAAAAGAGCTACTCACATTACACTTGGGGGGGGGGTTAATGGGAGAAGGGCAATCCACACACATACAAAACACATCTTACCAGGAGAAACCTCGTGGCACGGTGGTTAAACTACAGAACTGCAGTTGAGACTCTGCTCATGACTGGAGTTTCATCCCGGTGGACTCAGGTAGCCAGCTCCAGGTTTGACTGCATGTTTCTGAGGTCAGATAACGGAGTAGCCAGCTCACCAGGGATGGAGGAATTGGGTATTCTGCACAATAAATTTGCAAATCATACAGAGAGTGCTTTATGTGCTACGGGGTGGTATATAAGCAACACACTTTGTTTTTCTTTAGCAGACAGACACACAAACTGTTGGATTGCTCAGTGGCTTTAAGCCTTCAGCGGCAGAGCCAGACGTTGGGAATTAACTCCCAAGGGCTGGACTTGATGATTCATAAGGTCCCTTCCAAATCTGCAATATAAATCATCATGCAATATAAATCATCATGTTGATGATGATTTATATTGCACTCTATACCAGAGCGCATTCCAATAGTCAAAAACAGTTAAAATACAACTGTAACATAATTACAATGATAAAAACATACAGTAAACCATCATCATTCCATAAGACAATAAACAACAATCAAAATAACAGTAATAACAATATAATAATTGAAGTACAGTAGTTCTATCCCAATAATTGCCTGTTTCCATGGTCCCCACCCCCCTACGGTTCCAGGTTGGACGCGCAAGTTTTTAGGTCTCGTTTGAATTTGTCAAACTCTCGTTCCACACGAAGGTGTTGCGGAAGGGAATTGCATCATTTGGGGGCCAGATGAGAAACCAAGGGTGATCCCTTGTGAAATAAAAGCAACTGTGTCCTATGAAGTATAAGCCCCAGATCTATCATGACGATCCGTGGGCACACAGTGAGCTTATATTTGGAACATACAAGGATTGGATGAAACTAACTTTTGCTGTGCTGACCTCTTCCCATAACAACGAACACAGTTATGTGACAGATATCCTGCCTGTCGGATCGCATTCCAACACTAAGTAGTTCAGTGTGGCGCAAGAAATCCCGTTGCTCACCTGTCTGAAAATAACAGGTGTTTAGCAGCTCAACTGACAGGCCACATCGCCTCTGAGGGAGACAAGTAGCTATTAAAGAAGTCAGGATCAGCCCAACCAGATGGACTGGACAAGAGAGAGAAAGAGAAGGCAGGAGGATGCTGAGGGCACTGGGAGGTTGGGTGACGTTGGTCCCGCGGCTGATCCTGCACTATGTGAAACAGCTGTGGTCCCACCGGCGTTACCCTCCTGGACCGGTTCCTCTTCCTTTCATTGGAGGCCTCTGGCGGCTCGGATTCTGGCTTACTCGGGATACTTTCACTAAGGTACTTTCTTGTTGTCGCTGTTATGGGTCACCAACTCGCCTCCGACTTCGGGCGACCCCGTGAATGGGCAATCTAAAGAAGGCCCTCTCCTCAACAGCCGCCCTGATCATCAGCTCTTGGAAACGTTTAGGGAGTCAGTCCATCGCATGTTATCGGGTCTTCCTCTTTTCCTGCTGCCTTCCACTTTTCCCAGCATGATTGTCTTTTCCAGAGAACCCTGCCTTCTCAGGATGTGCCTAAAGTAGGAGAGCCTCAGATTCAAAATACAATTGAAATACAATGAAAAGATTAAAACATAGAAAAGATTAAAATTGCCTGCAAAAATGGGGTTCAGGGATTCAATTGCAAGTGTTTAAAGCCTGCCTGAAGAGATGGGGTCTTTGGCTTTTTTCGGAAGGATAACAGGGAAGGGGCGCTCCTGATCTCCCGAGGGAAAGCGTTCCATAGCCTGGGAGCTGCCACCGAGAAGGCCCTCCTCTCCCGGGTGTCCCCATCAGCTGGGCTTGTGCTGGCAATGGGACCGAGAGGAGGGCCTCCTCTGCTGATCTTGATTGCCAAGAAGGTGCCTATAGGGAGATACGGTCCTTCAGGATGCCTGGACCCAAGCCGTAGAAGGCTTTATAGGTAATGACCAATACTTTGAACTGGGCCCAGAAATGGACTCTGGTAGCCAGTGCAGTTCTTGTAACCAGTGCATTATATTCTCCATGTAGCTGTCCCCAGTTAGTAGTCTGGCTGCAGAGTTTTGCACCCGCTGAATTTTCCGAACTGGAAACTTTAATCCTATAGCTTTGTACAGAAATTCTTCAGTCCTTTGCAGTTTGTTTAGCTGGGATGTTTCTTGTTGAATCTCTAACTTAAAGTTCAAGATTTGGGTGGGGTAGCGTTCAGAGGAATCAACTCCTTTTGATCTCAAGGTCTTTTGAAATGTCTTCTTCTGTGTCAGATACACAGGAAATAACAAAGAGGTACAAACACAGCTGTTTTTCAAGGGTAAGAGTTCAACTCTTTATGCTCTGTATTTTTTTAAAAAAAATTATAGGTTCCAAATCTTTTAATTTCTTCACACTCTGTAAATGCTTTCAAAAGTTGCAGCTTGATTGGAAGTAGACCAAGCAGGGAAAGTACCTCTCTTGACACATTGGTGTGATGTCCTTCTCCAACCTGTTGATCCACAAGCTAATTTTAGTTGGAAGAATGAAAGAAGAGAGAAAGAAGACAGGGATCGGAGAAGGAAGAAATAACTAGGAGAGAGAATGGATAGAAAGGAGAGATGAACTACAGTAGGACCGTAGTATCCACAGGGGGTCAGTTCCAAACCCCCATGGGTGCTTTACAAATGCAGAATTATCAAAGGCTATACATTACACATGGGCTCCATGATCACTGCAGATGGTGACAGGAGCCACGAAATTAAAAGAGACCTGCTTCTTGGAAGAAAAGTGATGACAAACCTAGACAGCATCTTAAAAAGCAGAGACATCACCTTGCCGACAAAAGTCCACGTAGTCAAAGCTATGGTTTTTCCAATAGTGATATATGGAAGTGAGAGCTGGACCATAAAGAAAGCTGACCACCGAAGAATTGATGCTTTTGAATTGTGGTGCTGGAGGAGCCTCTTGAGAGTCCCCTGGACTGCAAGGAGAACAAACTTATCTGTTCTGAAGGAAATCAACCCAGAGTGCTCACTGGAAGGACAGATCCTGAAGCTGAGGCTCCAATCCTTTGGCCATCTCAGGAGAAGAGAACACTCCCTGGAAAGGACCCTGATGTTGGGAAAGTGTGAGGGCAAGAGGAGAAGGGGACGACAGAGGATGAGATGGTTGGACGTGTCACTGAAGCGACCAACATGGATTTGAGTCAACTCTGGGAGGCAGTGGAAGACAGGAGGGCCTGGCGTGCTCTGGTCCACGGGGTCACGAAGAATTGGACATGACTTAATGACTAAACAACAACAACAAATACATTACATGGGCTCTGGCTCCCCCTAATGGCCAGTTCTGGAAATTGCACCCTGGAAATACATATAAATAGGTTTTACTTTTAGCTAGCGGATAAGTGAATCAGCAGATACTAATCCCACAGATAGGGAGGTCCTACTGTAGGTGAAATTTCTGTAGAAGATAAGCAATTTAGTACTTTTATAATAACTTGGTTATTTATGCGTAATACTTTTGTTCTCTCGATTGATCTGAATGGCAGCTGAATAAGCATTATGGAGAAGTTTACACCTTATGGATTGGACACCTACCTGTCGTGTTCTTGTCCGGCTTCCAAGCAGTGAAAGAAGGCCTGATCACCCATTCAGAAGACTTAGCAGACCGACCAACAACTCCCTTCCTTGAAGCTGCATTAAAACATAGAGGTAACTTGTTATGAGCTTATACCAAGGTTCTATCCTGGGAAATCTGAGACAGGCAGGATCTCTCAAATCTGTGCACTTCATTTTTAAAATCCATATCCAGTTCCATATATATTTATATATTATTTTTATGAGGGGGGGTTTTGCACTTTCCCTGCCTCCCACGTGGGTTTTTTTCCGTTCTTAACTCAAATCTAAGTACTTAAGTCAAGTCAATATTTTCCTATGAGAGCGGTTCTTAAGTCAAAATGTTCTTAACTCGAGCCGTTCTTAAGTCAAGACCCCACTGTATTTTTATGAAGGGAACCTTTAAAAGTTTTGCACATTTTCCAAATCAATACAGAATTCAGGTGTGCATGCCCCATTGACCAACAAATGTTTCTGCACAATAAAGAAATACACACAGTCCTTTTTGGACATTTCCACACTACGGATGTTAACTCATGCTCTCCCCCCACCCCAGCTTTTACTGGAAGTCATTACAAGCATGAAAATGTGGATTTCTAAGCTGTTTGTCCAGGAGATGTAGAATCAAACAAATGCATTTTTAAAAATCCATACTGGAATACAGTAAGACCTCTATATTCATGGGGATCGGGAAACTGATTATAGCAAACACTATTATACAATAACAGGGAATGCTATTCATAGCATGTTTTCTAGCTCCCTCTAATGGCCAGAATTTTCAGACCGTGGATAAGTGAATCGACAGATAGATAAAGGGGTCCTACTGTCCATTTGCTACACATCCTTAAAGAATTGATGTAACAGCAGGCAAAGGAGGACACAGTAAAGCCCTGGCTGTATCAGGTGGTGGTCGGATCTGAAAGTAGTTGTAGTGAATTTCCAGCAACCTCATTCATTACCACGTAATCTGCATCACAAACTCTTCCACAAAGCAAAAGACAACAAAGTTGATGTGGGAATTTACTGTGAGCTGAGAAATGTCCTTGCAGAAAGGTTTCACAATGACCGTTGTACTGTCTACCTTGGGGATGTTTAAATTGTGGTGTCTGGCTTTCCGGACTATGCCACTGGATTTCCCTTGCTTATTGCTTCTGGATGCCACAACTGTGTTAAATGTTACTTTTGAAAAGGGAAACAACTGTAAAATCCCACAGCCAAAATCACCAGTAGTCATGCTTGGCTTCATGATGCTGGGAGTTATAATTATTATTATTTTTTAAAAAAAGAACTTTAGGAAGTTCTGCAACCTGGTTGTATGTTTTACTTCCACTAGGGGGCAGACGGAGGTCACATTATGGCTCTTATGAAGCCCTTGTGCCATAGCTGTGGCCATTTATTATCTCCCAGGCTGAAGGTACAATTCTGTGCCCACCGAGCTGGAAGTCAGTCAGGATTGGATCATTAAATATGGCTTCATACAGACTGTGGTGTTCTCTCAAAAAGATCCAGACCTCTTGTTTACTTGGGAACGTTTTTGGCTTGCTAGAAATTAGACGGCATTCCCTTTAAGATTATTGTGTATACTGTAATTTAAAACCTTATAATTATTCATAATGATGATGACAGTAAATTCAACAAATGCCCTCCGACCTCTTCAGCACACACAGTAAGGTAGGGTGCAAGTCGATTTTTGTTCAATCCTTAAATACATGTTTATGAAAGTAACATTTTCCCCAGTTTTTGCTCTGTGCACCTCCAAAAACTATAAGCAGTCTTCTTTATCTTCAAGTTAGGTATTTTGTGTGTGTGTGTGTGTTTATTTTTACAAGTGGGAAAAATGGGCAAAATATACAGATTATATTCCTTATCAAAAAGGGCAAAGAGAAAGGCCGCATGAAATTGACGATTTAGCAATCTGATCAAAAGAATATGTATCAACTTAAAGACGCAAGACAACTGCTGGTTAGCTCAGTGGTTTAGGCCTCCGGCTGTGGCCAGAGGTTGGGTGTTCAAATCCCCACTGGGCTTCCACAAGAACGGTTGGACTTGATGACCCAGACGTTCCCCTTGCAGATCTTCAGTTCTAAGCTTATTAAAGGTTTAAAAGGATGGACTTACATTATGTTGAAGACTTGATTCCAATAAATACGAAATAAAACTCAGTTTCTCATATGTTTTATCAGTTATTACCGTATTTTATTTTTATTACTGCTATTTATTTATTTATTTAAAATATTTTTAGCCCGCCTTTCTCCTAAACAAGGACCTGAGGTGGTTTCGCATCAATGAAAAAACAAGATTTAAAGCTGGAAACAATGAGTTTACAATGGTGATTTACATCATTAAAAGGCAACGTTTAAAGCTGAGGACAATGAGTATACACATATTTAAAAGGAACAGACAAATGTCACTCTGAGACATGGCAAACCCAAGTAGTCCTAAAGACCCAGTCAAAGCACTAATGCATAACAATTCTATTTTTATATCACACCCTCTTAATGGACTTGGCGTTACTCTGGGCAATTTCCAGCAGTAGAAGAAACATACAAAGAACAGTCAAATCCCACACGAACCAAAAATATAAAAGATACTGTAGATAACAAAACAACACGTCTAAAAGTTAAGATGGCGACAATGGACAAGCTAAGGATTACAGAATGTAATCGTCAAAATAAGACGAAATGACCAACAATGATCAAGGAAGGATACCATGAAAAGTCTCCCTGAAAAGCAACGTTTTTGTGTGCTTCCTGAATATTAGGAGGGGGGAAGAGATCCAGCACATCTCCACAGTGAGAGCCTTCCATAAAGAGATGGCCAGAAAGCCTAGCACCTTTATTTCTTCCAGTCATTCAACAACAATCAGAAGAAAAGGAAGAATCAGTTTATTTATTCAAGCTGTTGATCTTATCTTTCTAAGCCAGTCTGACCTAGAGAGATGATTTAGAGCAGTGGTCCCCAACCTTTTTTAGCCCTGTGGTCTGGCTGTGGGAGGCAGGGCACCCCCTGTGCTTGTGCGCATGTGTGAAGGAGCACTCTCTCGCACGCGCTTGTGCGCATGCGCAAAGGGCAGCAGAGCGCTCGTGCGGGCGCACTCATGCGCAGGTGCAAACAGGCTGTGCAGGGAGGAGTGTGTGTAGGGGTGGAGGAAGGTCTCTCTCCGTGGCCCGGTGTGGCTCAGGCCACGGAGCGGCACCAGGCCGCAGACCAGGGGTTGGGGACCTCTGATTTAGAGGTTTCCCTTTAGGCACTGCACATGTTCTGGCAGCTAGTAGAAAACCAATTCTCTAGCTTGAGACCTCCATGGAATCGGGGGGAAGTGGATTAACTAATCTCCCCCTATATCTCTAAACCCTGCAGCATCAGCCAAGGTAGAAGATAACACATCACAGGCTGATTTGCTGTGTTCTTTTCTTACAGGCTCCCTATACAATGTGGAGAGGGCTTAGTGACTCCATGTGCCCGGCTGGGGTAGCTTGACAAGCATGGATCAGACCCATCTGAATGGCAGGGGTGGCTTCAGACCCCAAACCACAGTCAGTCTTGATGACAAATTGCTGTTCATGAATAAAGTGCTCGGGGTGTTTCTGGATCTGAATCTGATCTCAATAGCAGGCACATGCCAAGGAATACCCTAACACCTCAAGGGATAATTTGCCACCAAGATTTATGTGATTTCCCCTTGACATTTAGTCCAGTCATGTCCTACTCTAGGGTGCGGTGCTCATCCCCATCTCGAAGCCATAGAGCCAGCGTCTGTCAGAAGACCGTTTCCGTGGTCAGGTGGCCAGCATGACTAGACATGGAATGCCTTTACATTCCCACCGAGATGGTACTTATTTATCTACTCGCATTTTTTGCATGCTGTCAAACTGCTAGGTTGGCAGGAGCTGGGACAAGCGACGGGAGCTCACTCCGTCGCGTGGATTCGATCTTACGACTGCAGGTCTTCCAACCTTCGAGCACAGAGGCTTCTGCAGTTTAACCCACAGCGCCACCACGTCCCTCTAATTTGATTTCCCATTGGTCAGCATAAATTGACAATAAAAGTGGCCATTGACAGTGAGACTTCAGTTGGTGTTAGCAGAAGCTCCACCCCAATACAACCCCTATGAAATATTGGTTCAGTCCAAAGGGATGGGACTGTGAAAGAGAAGGGATGTGAATAAGAGGTTTGGATCTTAGAAAGAGCGGGAGAGCCAACGATGCCGGAGTTGCTGTTGCCCGTTGGATGACTTGCCAATTTGGTTTAGGGTTCTGGAGATTCTTCTTTGTTATCGATACCCAACCCAGCTGAGGAAGATACCTTGGATTTTTGTCTCACTTAGAAATCAAAAGAACCCTTGATCTTTGCAAATTATGCAAGCAACTTCTGTATTGGTACTGTTGACAAGGTCTTGGGTGCACCAACTGTAGCATTTTGTTGTTGTTAGAATGGTTCGTGTTGGCTGTTATATGAATGCAAAACAAGAAGAGATTTATTCTGTGAAATAGTGTTTGCAAGGCTCATCAATAGTAAGCAAATAGCCCCACAGAACTTGAAAGTGTAATCCATCCATCCATCCATTCAAATCATATCCATGTGAGGGTGGGGGAATCTGGATCAGGACCAAAGAAGGCAGCAAAAGATTGAAGCCCATTGTCCTCTTATTCTTGTCCTGATCTGGATTAAACCCTCCGCGCCTCATAACTATTTTCCAAATTTATTCATCAACTTTCCATTTGTTTGAATGGCAAATGTGTGGCCATGATTCTGCATGAGCCTTGTCGTTCTGAAATAGCCTGTTGTCCTCTAATTGCATGGACGGGACATGGTGGCGCTGCGGGTTAAACTGCAGAAGCCAGAGGTCAGAAGACCAGCAGTTGTAAGATCGAATCCACGCGACGGTTTGACTCCCGTCACTTGTCCCAGCTCCTGCCAACCTAGCCATTCAAAAGCATGTAAAAATGCGATTAGATAAATGGGTACCACCTTGGTGGGAAGGTGTGTCTAATCGTGTTCCGTGTCTAATCGTGCTGGCCACGTGACCATGGAAACTGTCTTTGGACAAACGTCAGCTCTACGACTTGGAGACGGGGATGAGCACTGCACTCTAGAGTCAGACACGACTGGATTAAATGTCAAGGGGAACCTTTACCTTTAGCTAAACCGTACTCCTCCTCATAATCATGACAGGAAGCTGGTACATTTCCTTCTCCTGTTCTGACAATAATTTATCCTTGATTCCTGGTTGCCTCAGGTATTATGTTTTCCAACGGCCACACCTGGAAGCAGCAGAGACGGTTCGGTTTGGTTACTCTGCGGAAGCTGGGACTGGGGAAGAAAGGTATGGAGCGCCAAATAGAAGAGGAAGCCCAGCAGCTGGTGGAGACTTTCGCACGTGCAAAGGGTAGGTGATATCTGGGGATGGCGCTGGCTTGTGTCCTGGTCCCTCTCCTGTTTTGTGGAGTTCTTTGTGCATTTTGTACTGTATCTGGAATTTGATCTGTTTAGTTTCTTGCTTATGAGAAAACTCAATGCCCTAAGAGATTTCCGTTCCCCTTCGCCCCACCATGACACCCCAAGTCTTGGCTTGATGTCAATATGGCTTTCCATGACTTCTTCTGCAGGGCAGCCATTTGATCCTTCACGACCTATCATGAAAGCGGTCTCCAATGTCATATGTGCTTTGGCTTTTGGGCACCAGTTTTCTACCGAAGACAAAAACATGAAGAAACTGTTGGAAACGCTTGAGCTCGGCTTAAACTTTGGAGGAAGCCTCTTTCATGTTGTGAGTGGACATCTTTTTTTAGATGCTGCATTTGGAGATGCTTGGGATAGGAATTAAACCCTCCAAAAGTAGATGAGCCAAAGCTTAAACAAGGCAGGACTTCCTCTCTGTCACTTTCCCCGTTTTTCCTCCTGCTACTTAGCGGACTGCAGGGGAAAGGAAGGTTTGCCTTGCCAGAAACAAAGAGAGAACACATGATGAAGACCTTTAAAATCAGAGTGGAGCCTGGCTGGCCTACAGGCTGCTCTTGATCATGCCCCTAGCCTCTCTCTGAACCCCTACTGCCCCCCAAATGCTCTCAAATTGCCTGGTCCTTGTTTCTTAAAGAGGCACTTTGAAGCTTAAAAGATGTCATGATTTAAGTGTCCACCCCCTTGAAGCTGGTGGGGGTACAGTTTACAAATTGTGGGTATTGAGGTATTGGAGGGAGTGTGGAGGCTTCAAAGGTCAGGAAATGTCTCACAGATGCATGAAAGAGGCCCCACCTCTGAACTAGGGGAATCATGGAATAATTGAGTTTGAAGGGATCTATAAGACCATTAGGTCCAGTGCAGGAATCCCTCCCCCAGCATAAACAAAGCAAGCATGTGGGCCATGTGGAGGATGCAAAGTGAAGGCTCCACTGGCACTGAGCCCCCTCCCCTGCCACTTTCTTAGGTGACCTTGCCCCAGGTGCGGGCAACCCACATTATGCAATTTGTCACAGATTTTGGCGACAGTAGAAATACGCAGAGTTATTGAAGACACTTACAAGTTCTTCTTTGTTGCAAGATGGTTGTATTTACAAGTATTTACAGTTATTTACAGGCAGGCACAATTGTCTGCCCTTCTTCTGTAGGAATAGCTTTCAAGAATTTGAAAAGTCCTATCCTATCTCCCCTTAGTCTTCTTTTCTCAAAGCTAAACATATCCACAAGAATTTGAAAAGTCCTATCCTATCTCCCGTTAGTCTTCTTTTCTCAAAGCTAAACGTATCCATTTTGTTCAGTCTTTCCTCATAGGAAGATCTGTCCTCAAAGGGTCTGAATGACTGCACCTGCTATGCTCCAAAAGGCCTTTGCTGCAGGTTAGCACTAACAAGTCACTGTCACAAATAACTCTTTGGTCAATTACACTCTCACCCTGATTAATAGTATAGGTTGGATAACCCTTGATCATACTCCGTAGGATGGTCCTCCATTTGACGGCCTTATGGAGTTACCATCCTCTTTTTCAGGGTGTCTTCCATTTGAGGGGTGCTCTAATCCAAGTCTGATTTAGTGATGCAGAACCATAAGAAAGAGGGAGGTCAGGCACCATGGCGTTTCCCACTAACAGGTAGCACATGGACAGCAGGCTGGTATACAAGTCACAGGTCTTCCATACTCCAGCAAGATGCTTTGTCATTCTCTTTACAGTATAAAAATCATTTCTAACTTTCCTTCTGTACATATACATAAGCATATGAAATATTATGCAAATCAGTATCCTTTTTGTCCTCTGTTTTGGTGATGTATGTCTCCACTGAAATCCATGGGACCCAAGTTGGCCATGATGAACATATCGTTAGGCAAGATAATGCAATCTGTATCACATTGGCTGAAATCCTGTCCCTTAGCATTATTAAATCACAGCAAGTTACATTGGCTGAAATCCTGTCCCTTAGCATTGTTAAATCACAGCAAGTTGGCCCATTGAACCAGCAGGGATTTGGTGAGTCAACTCCTCTGTAAGTTCCATCAATTCAAATGAGTCTTCTCTAGTTATATATTTAGTGTAGCTTGGTGAGTCAACTCCTGTGTAAGTTCCATCAATTCAAATGAGCCTTCTCTAGTTATATATTTAGTATAGTGAGTCACAACTAGAGTAAGCCCATGTGAATCAATGGAACTAATGCAGGAGTTAACTCACCAAATTCCTCACTGGTTCACACTACTGTAGTGTAACTTCATATGCTAAACTACAGGGTTTCAGTCATTGATCTTTATGGATTCAGGCTTAATACAACTAAATATGGATTCAACTATATTTCAGAGCGTTGACAATATGTATAATAATCCATATGTTGACAATAACTGCCAAGAAACCACTGTGTTTGCATTTTATAACTATTTTCTTATAAGCAGTATAAGTTACCAGTTCTTCAGGTATAATTTCAGATACCCACAGATTAATGTAAGAGATCTTTCAGAAATTTGTTACATGAGCAGAGCACCACCTAATAGGCATTTTAGCCGATGGAGCAAATACCACAAAGACAAATCAGTACAGGGGAGTGGAGACTGGAACATTCATCCCTCACTAGTCTTAGAAGGCAAAACAGGATGTATATTTCAAAAAATGCAATAACACTGCTATTTCATCTGAGAGGGATCTTGAGGCTGTATCCATAAAAGCCCACTTCTTCCAGAATAAACTCCCAAAATGGAGTAGATATAAAATTCATAAGAACCCGCTCCAGCTTAGTCCTGCTGTTCACTTAGGGCCTGTCCAGAATGGCCATTTTGGTGCAGGCCAGAATGGAGTGCAAATAAATGTACTATTTGGCATGCTCCTCCAATCCCAATGGTATATCCATCTTTATGTTCATTAAACACTTCCCCGGTTATCTGCGGAGGCTCAGGGGAAGTGAAATTTTTTCCATGTCTGCTAGAGCATTGCTGATGCAATGAATCACTTTGATTAAATTTTAAAAAATATTTTTTCTTTGTCTGTGTATTGCTGATTGAGAAAACTACCTGCAGCCACAGTTTTGGTTGCCAATACAATATATTTTTAATTTGATTGCATTGATTTATTGTATCAGCAACCATCTAGCAGATGCAATAACAAACAATTTCACTTCCTCCAACCCTCCTCAGATTATCAGGGGAAGTGTTCAATTTCTGATATCCTGAAAAAACTTGTAAGCCACTTCAGGATACTAGAAATTAACATTGGGAGGAGCTGCAAGGCTCGGGTTTAATCCATTCCAAACAACCACATATACTGGGAATGGACTAAGCTGAAGCTCTCCAAGACACATCCAAATAGTAGAACCCCCAGACAGAGGTTCAAAAAGTGAACGTTGAAGCAGATTGGTTGTCTCCAGTCATGTCCATGCATGGATGCCAGAAAGAACAGACCAACTCAATCCATCAGAGCATCAAACTGCAGAAAAAATGCCAGGGTGGACCCACTCTCAGTTCAAGGTAAGTTTAATGCATTAGCCTTCAAGAATAGTTCAGACCAGTTGCTATCAAAGACATAACCCAATGAGTCTGACCTGCAATCGAATTGCTGTACCTTCTCCTCGAGAGTAATTTGCTTTTGTTTTTCCTTTAAGCTCTATGAACTGTTCCCACGGCTCATGAAACATCTGCCTGGCCCCCACAAAAAGGCGCTGTCTGCCCTAGAGATGGTGCTTTCACTTGTAAAGAAGGAGGTAGAGGAGCATAGAAAGCACCAGTCCCTGCATGAACCACAGGATTTCATTGACTTCTACCTCCTTCAGATGGAGAAAGTATGTATCTACTGCGTGGTTGTTCAGCAAATTTGCTACTGTGATCGAATACAATTATTGTTCGTATTAGTCGTACACACAATTATTATTATTGCCCTACAGCACATCCCAAACTAGGTCCCCCTTTCCAAGATGTGAAGAAACGTTGACAATGCCTACACACAATTATTATTATTGCCCTACAGCAAATCCCAAACTGGGTCCCCCTTTCCAGGATGTGAAGAAACGTTGACAATACCTTGGAGTGTTGTTGTTGTTGCAGTTGCAGTTGCAGTTGCAGTTGCAGTTGCAGTTGTTGTTGTTGTTGTTGTTGTTGTTGTTGTTGCTCTTTTTAGTTTGTAATGCAGACAGATTGTCTTGAGTCTTGATATAGCCAGACATCTTCCTGAGGATCCTGGCGCCCCCACATCGTGAGAGAACTTGTCTGCCATACAAGAGCAAGTTCTTTTCTTTTCATGATCCTGATTTCCACAGTTTGCACAAAACATGTCTAACGTTTTTCCCCTTTGGGGAAAATTGTGCATTCACATAAATGTGCCAGTATCAATTACATGTCAACTTTTCATCCCTGGCTTGGCAGGAGAGAACCTCACCTCTCAAAATAAGGAGGGGGAAAAAGTCCCTTGTATATTAAGCAAAAGCAAACCAGGTCAGGCCACTGAACATTTAATCCCCATTGTCAACATGTGTTGATTTGGGAAGTTAAAATCAGGGTGAAAGGTGTGACTAAGATCACATTTAGTTTTACCCAGAAATTTTAGGGAGAAGGACTTTTGTACAGGCTACGGAATTAGAGCTAAAGCTTTCCAGGTCTGATTCAGGGATCTTAGGAACGGGCAATGGAAGTGACATACAGCCAAATAAATGCCCGCTGTGTTCTCTACCAGAAGTCGGAAAAACGTACATGTGTGGATGCCTTTTCCTAGCTGGAAAGAGGGCGGGATCCTGGGAAGGCAGACCTGTTCCTCCCATTGGTTGGGTGCAAGCTGTTCATAAACCAGGGATGGAGATTTGAGTTGCGGGACCCGCTGTCAAGTTGGGTTTATGTCATACCAATGACTCAACTTGGACTTGACTTGGGAGTTGTTGTTTTTCAATGACTCAGACACGACTCGCAACCTTGAAGCCGCCCACCCCTCCCTTTTTTCTAGGGGAAAAAGCTTGTTTTTAATAGGAACTTGGACCTGGGACTTGGGACCCGGAACTTGGTATTAAAGACTTGGGCTCAGACGTGGACCTGGGACCTGAACCCAAAGACCTGCCGACATCCTTGACATAGGCTGCATCAGGCCAATGAGGTCCTACAACCACCTCCAGCAACAGGAAAACCAGATCTGACTCACAGAAGCACATTGGGTCTTCTCTTTGCCACGTAATTCAACCAATCCTTAAGACCGTAGCATCACATCTCTCCTATGGAGTGTGTTCCTTACACAATCCATAGCTGCTAGTAAACCATCCCATGAGTTGGACTATAATGGCTTTATGTCCATGGTTGACAGCTGATATCTACATTGCTATTCATATTGTTGAATCTCGCCACTGTTGTTGCTATTGTTATTATTTGCCATCAAGCACATTTTGATTTAAGGCTGTTCTATAATCCCATGTCTTCCTTTATTGAGTCAACCCACCTCATATTCAGGCTTCCTCTTTTCCTGCCGCCTTCCCACTTTGCCCACATTATTGTCTTTTGCCATAGGTCTCATCTTCTCATAATTTGCCCAAAGTACAGTAGCCTCAGTTTAGTCATTTTTGTTTCCAGGGGAAGTTCAGGCTTCGTTTGCTCTAGCACTCGCTTATTTATTTTCCTGGCAGTCCATGGTATTGGTAAAGCTCCCCCTCCAACACCACATTTCAAACAAATCATTTTTCCCTATAGGTTTTCTTCACTGTCCAACTTCCACATCTGTATTTAGTAGTAACCTTAAATACTGGTTGAACATTAACCTGTCCTTTAACATGTCTCTCTTCTTGTTGATGACAATTTCAATGACGTTGGGCCTTGCATTAGTGCTTGAAACACATACTGTTATCAACAATGTATGGCGCAGTATATTCAAAAATAGAATTATTTCTTATTTTCAACAATAGAGTAAAGATGACCCTGATACGACCTATGACGAAGAGAACCTGGCTGAGTGTATTATTGAGTTTTTCGGTGCGGGCACAGAGACGACAACCACGACCCTAAAGTGGGCATTGCTCCTGATGGCAACCCATCCAGACATCCAAGGTAAGAGAGATCTGTGTAACAAAGGTAAGGCCAAGCCTCGTTGATTGGTTTGTTCCATTAATCCTGTAGTGCTGGCTTTGGATTTCTCTAAGACCTGGGTAGGCAACTGTGGCCCTCCAGATATTTCTGGTCTACAAACATCCCATCAGCTTTAGCTAGCATAACCAGTAGTGAAGGGTGCTAGGAAATTCAGTCCAAAAACATCCTCTGTTGTGTGTGTGTGTGTGCGTGTGCGTGCGTGCGCGTGTGTGTGTGTGTGTATGTGCGTGCATGGACACAAACAAACAAACAGACAAACACACACACACACACACCAAAGAAATTCAGGTCAACAGATCAACTCCTCTCACTGAAAACAAGGATACAGTATGTTCTAGTTGTTGTTCCAGCGTCTCATTAAGTCTCATTTCCGCCTTACAGAAACGTTCTGAATTCATGACCTCCCATTATCTTATCATTAACAGCCCTGATCAGATCACACTGATGAACCCTTTTGTTATCTTAATTTGTACCCACCCCAAGTAAACACGACAACATAATTTCAGTAACCACTCCCTACATAGTATATTACTATGAAGAGTTGAAATGCAACACAGGCGTTGATTGTGAAAGGCATTTGCAATCAATAAGTTTGCAATGCAGTCCAATCCATCCTTACGAAATCTTAACTTGTTCCAGCTGAATCATATCTAGAGCAAGGACATCTCTTTGTGTTAAATTGGCTTAGTTATGGTAAGGTGGCGTTATTTTTTCTCTCTCTTTTGGGAATCAAACAGCAGAGAAAACTTATTGTGTTTATTTGGGGTAGAAGTTAAGGTAAAAAAGAGAACCACTGATATGCTTATGTTTTGAGGGGGCTTGATCAGTGGCATGACTTTATTTTCAGAGTATAGCTGTAGGATTATTTTTCACTTCCATTTGAGAATTTCCCTGTTTTCTTAATGTATAAGGACATAATCAGTGTTGGGAAAACAAAGTCCATCTGTTCTGAACAACTTAAGGTAATAGAAAAAAATATGTAAGTGTCAATATAAATAACAAATGAAACCATTGACAACAGCATTAAATGTCAGAAACCCACTATTGCAAATCTAATCTCTTTCTGAATCCTAACATGATTTTACGCATTGTGTAAGGTATTCTGTGGCAGCAAAACAGGCATTTTCCACACACACCCCAGAGGTGGCCCAGGGCTGGGAAGTTGAGGAGGAAGGCAGCCGTTCCACTGCTTCCAGGGTTCTGGCCTACCCTCATGTTCTTGTGTTTGTGCCTCTCTTTGGGGGAACATTAAAAGCAACCAACTTGTTCTGGGAGAGGCAAACAGTGAAAGAGATATTTCCTCAGGCTCTAGATGGCATGGCCTGTGTCCTGAGCACACTCCTGTACTGCAGTGAGTCCTGGACCCTCTGTGCACGGCAGGAGAGGAAGCTGAACACCTTCCATATGCGTTGCCTCCAACAGATTTTTGGTCTCACCTGGCAGGACAAAGTTCCAAATAGAGTAGTCCTAGAACGAGCTGGAATTTTTAGCATGTATACATTACTGAAACAGTGACACCTATATTGACTTTGGTGTGTCATGAGAATGGCTGATGGTCGGATTCGAAAAGATCTCCTGTTTGGAGAATGAGTGCAGGGAAATCGCTCCAGAGGGAGACCACAGCTGCGATACAAGGAGATCTGCAAGCGGGATCTGAAGGCCTTAGGAATGGATCTCAACAGATGGCAAACCCTGACATCTGAGCGTTCAGCCTGGAGGCAGGCGGTGCATCACAGCCTCTCCCGATTTGAAGAGATCCTTGTCCAGCAGGCCAAGGCCAAGAGGAAGTCCCGAAGCCAGCAAAATCAGGGAGCTGGAAGGGGGACAGATTGTATTTGTCTTTAGTGTGGAAGCGGTTGTTGTCACTCTCGAATTGGCCTTCTCAGCCACACTAGATGCTGTTCCAAGTCCTCCATTCAGAGCACGCTACCATAGTCTCCCGAGACTGAAGGATGCCTACTAGGACGGCATGGCCAAGCCAGAGAGGGCACAGTCTATGGTGTTGCTCTTATTTCATGCAGTGTCCTGGCAACAAGCCAACAACTGTCTTTTACCCCTGTAGTGGAAAATTTACTTCCGTATTCCTTCTGTAGCTCAGGTGTTATTCTGGTTTATTTAATTGATTGATACCCTGATTATCATCTAGGCCCAGGAATCAAGGCCACTGGCAGGAAGATACAAAAAGAGTACTGCTTTGTTTAAAGAGATAAAACAGATAACTTTATAATGTTAAAACACAGTTAATTAAGGTATAATAATAAAACGGTATTTCATTATAAATCAGTTAAATAATACATTAGTAAAACAGGATAGCACCAGTTCATGAAAGCATCCTTTCTCGGTAGCCCGTCAGTTAATGCGAGAATGACCACATAAAAAGGTCTCTGCCTGCCACTGGAAGGACAGAACAGAGTGGACCAACCTCACACCCCATGGAAGGCAGTTCCATGGACTGGGACCAGCCACCAAAAAGACCTTCTCTTGTAGCTCTTAAAAACAGCCTTATGAAAGTGAGAGAAGGGCCAACCCTAAAAATCTCAGAGCCCAGGTAAGTTTGTATGAGAGAATATAGTCCTTCAGATAACCAGGAGCTAAACCATATGACGTGGTGGCGCTGCGGGTTAAACCACAGAAGCCTCTGTGCTGCAAGGTCAGAAGACCAGCCATCGTAAGATCAAATCCACATGATGGAGTGAGCTCCTGTCGCTTGTCCCAGCTCCTGCCAACCTAGCTGTTCGAAAGCATGTAAAAATGCGACTACATAAATAGGTACCACCTTGGTGGGAAGGTCACGGCGTTCCGTGTCTAGTCGCACTAGCCACATGACCGCGGAAACTGTCTTCGGACAAACTCTGGCTCTACGGCTTGGAGATGGGGATGAGCACTGCACCCTAGAGTTGAACAAGACTGGACTAAATGTCAAGGTGATCCTTTACCTTATAGATTTCTTAAGTTGAAGTGTATGGAAAAATCACTGACTGTTCTTGAGATGAATCACAAACTCTATAAAAATTAGAGCTCGTTTGCCTGTCCTTTCTCTCAGAGACTGTCCAGAAGGAAATAGACGATGCCTTCGATTCCTCTTACTCAATCTCCTATCAAGATCGGAAGAAACTGCCTTACACCAATGCTGTGATTCACGAGGTTCAGCGTGCCAAATACGTCTTCTTACTGGGGGTCCCCAGGCAAAATATGAAAGATATAAACCTACTTGGTTCATTGATTCCCAAGGTATTGGTTATATTATCAGCGTTTCAGGACCATTATGCCCCATGACTGCCACTTTCCCCTGCAGATTCCTATGCCTACCAGTTGAGGACAATATACAATAAATTATACTGTTTGAGGGTTCTGCTTTAAGAGATGTATCATCCATAGACGTTTCTGTCCTTTTGTTAGATAGAATCCTATCACTGATTTCCTTATACAGTGGTGCCCAGCATAGTGACAATAATCTGTGCAGCAAAAATCGCTGCAAAGCAATTTCGTCGCTATGCGAAAATAAAAAGCCCACAGGAACGCATTAAAACCCGTTTAATGCGTTCCTATGGGCAAAAAACTCACCTTTAAGCGAAAATCCTCCATACGGTGGGCGGGATATAAATAGAATAAATAATAATAATTTTCGCTGTCCGGTAAGCGAGGAATCTGGGTGAAAACACAGTGGGCGGCCATTTTTTTTAACCCAGCGGCCATTTTGGAACCGCCAATCAGCTGTTGGGAAATCATTGCTATGCGAAAATCGGTAAGTGAAACAGCTTTACCGATCATCACAAAGTGAATTTTTAACATTTAAATCATTGCAATGCGATCGCTTTTGCGATCGCAAAATCTTCATCGCTATGTGGATTCGTCGTTAAACGAAGCGCTCGTTAAGCGAGCCACCACTGTATACTCTAAGTCTTGGCAGGAAATTGATGCTCATTAAGTTCAGTTCCTCAACATTTTTCTGATTGTGCCATTAAGCATTTCCCCAGGAATGCAACCAGAACCTTGCTAATAGGATCCTGACCATTTTATTTTATTTTTGTTATATGGCTGAAACAGACTAAGGGTGCAACTACACAGCAGAAAAAAACAGGACTGGATCTGCTGTGAAGTCATACATGGGAAGTCATGTTTCCCTAAGTCAATTTGTTTCAGGTGGCAATATAAGAGTCAGCAGAGGAGACTGTTATCAGTCAACCTGATTTGTTTGTTACTTTTAGAGGTAGCTTTTCTCTGGACATCCAGATTTGCAAGTGGCATGACGAGAGGACAACTACCTTAACAGGCTGTAAACAAGGCTGATTGATAACTTCCTCCTCTCTCTCTGCTGACTCTTCACTTTCTTTTTCTTCTTTGATCATCTAGCTATCCTACTGCTAGGACAGCAAGCTTTTAAAAGGGGGGGAAAAGGAAGGGAACAGAATGGAATGGAATGGAAGAGGAATAGAAGAGGAAAACAAGCAGACCCAGGAACCAGGTTTAGGGGAAAAAGGGTTCAAATGGCAGCCAGTTTCCCCACTGCAGCCAGATGCGATGGCTTCAGACAGAACACCTACAAATCTCTCCACATTGACTAAAGAGCTCACACCATCTGAACCAATGCAAATGCACTATGTTCCAAAAAAAAAGTAGAAGCCCCAGCAGCGGAGAGAAAAACACTATGGATTGCAGGGAAGAACTCTGGGCTGATTCACATTGACTTGTATGCCATACAGTCAATGAAAAATAATGTGAATCTGACCATTCCAATCACAGAGCAGCTATCTCTTTGAAAACAGAAATGAAAGTCTTCCTTGTTTCCATTAGCCGAATTAAATAGAAGTAGCTATTCCTATCATAGGAAGAGCCGTGCTGTATTTGCCCTCCGATATAAATGATTAAGGATGAGCCTCTGAGAAAAAAGAGGTAGCAACCTTAATTTAATGCTAACATGGTCAAATGCGCAGGGATTCAACCTTGGACTTTGAAGAAAAGTTGGAACACTCGATCGGATGCCCCCAGGTTCTGGTCTTGCATGAGAGGGAAAAGAGCTTCCCTCTCTCCACTTGATTCACCCCCTGCATTATTTTATCCATCTCCATCATGTCCCCCTTCAGGTGCCTTTTCTCTAGACTCAAGAGCCCCAAACGCTGTTGCCTTTCCTCATAAAGGAGGTACGCCAGCCCAGTCATCATTTGAGTTGCTCTCTTCTGCACCTTCTCCAGTCGCACCATGTCTTTTTTGAGGTGCGGCCCCCAGTACTGGACATAATACTCCAGGTGCGGCCGTACAAGCATTTTGTCCAATGGCATTCTAATATTGGCTGTTTTCGATCCCCTTTTTAATGATAGAGGTGAGCTCTCACGCCTGTCTCTATCAGGGCATTCTTTTAGTGAAAGGCGGGCCCAAAGCAATTTTAGAAATCAGATGCAGATGTGCCTCATACAGCTGGGCCAACAAACAACGATGTTTCATACTCGTCTTAGATGGTGAGGGATGAATCTGACATATGTAGGTCCAAACATATTCTAAGCCAATTGTTCTTTCCTTTCAGGGAAGTTTTATTATGCCTGATCTGCGCTCCGTTCTTGTTGATCCCAAGCAATGGGACACCCCAGAAGAGTTCAATCCACATCATTTTTTGGACACGGATGGACATTTTATCGATAGAGAAGAGTTCCTTGCATTTGGCGCAGGTAAACGCTGACTGGGAAATACTAGGTTTGTAATCCAGTGGCTTAACTATCTGGTTGAGGAGCCCATAGTTGGGAGTTCAATTCCCCCGTTGTGCTTCCTAGGAAAAGAGCCGGGCCTGTGAATCTTCGGGTAAACTGCGGGGCGCCTCCAGAAGAAAGGAAACAGAGCCAGAGGTTGGGGGTACAATGATTATTTAACAAAGGCTACAACACATATATTTAACAAAGGCTGACCCACAATTCCCCAGAAAACATGTTGTAACCCTTTTGAGGGTCACAATCCCCAGGTTGGGAAACAGAAAGAAAGTACAGTGGTGCCTCGCTAGACGATGGTAATCCGTTCCACTGAAATTGGTGTTTAGCGAAATCATTGTCTAGCGAAAAGCATTTCCCCATTGGAATGCATTGAAACCTGTTTAATGCATTCCATTGGGGAAGAATCTTCACCTAGCGAAGATCGGCCAGAGGAAAGCCGGTTTGCGAATTGCCGATCAGCTGTTTAAATCGCTGTCTTGTGAAGCTTAGGTCACGGAAACACCTGTTTTGCAAGCGCAGAGGGAGCTGTCAAAATCGTCATCTAGCGAAAATCGGTTTGCGAAGCAGGGACCAAACATTGTCCAGCGAAATTCCCCCATAGGAATCACTGTTTTGTGAATCGCTATAGCGATTGCAAAAAGTCGATGTTTAGAGGAAAAAACTGTCATGCGGGGTAACTGTCTAGCGAGGCGCCACTGTAGCTGGAATAGGATTTTACTCACTGCATGTCTGTCCTTTTATTTTCTCTATAGGATCTCGGGTGTGTCTCGGGGAGCAACTGGCACGGATAGAAATATTCATCTTCTTCACCAGCTTGCTGAGATCTTTCAGCTTCCAGCTACCAAAAGGAGTGAAAAAAATCAGGACAGAGCCTGTGGTTTGGTTGACGATGCACCCCCATCCTTATAAGCTGTGTGCTGTTCCCCGCAATGGCTCACCAGGAAAATAATTATAGAGACTTATTTATTTCCGTTAATATCTGTGTCATTCTTTTCCGCGCTTCATCCAGCGTTCCCCCTTGGCTTACTCACATTCACTCTTACCCTTTACAATTTATTAGCCATATAAGAACTTGAGGCATACATATCACTGAGAGAATTTCACATTGCTATCTGTTTTTTAAAAAATTAGAGGAAGGAAATAAAGGCAAGAACACCTTCCTGCTGCTATGGTTATTCTCACATTCACACACACGGTGGGGGGGGAGAGCTCTTCTTTGAGAGGAATCATGGCTGCCAAACTGTCACTCCCTCCATCTGGACACTTGTGAATAGAGGGATGGTTTGCAGGTGGCTATTTTGATCCATAGCAGAGACGAGAAGGGAAACAAAATGCAAGGGAGATAGGGAAAGTTACAGAAAATGGAATGCGGACTTCCAAAGAATAGCAAGGAGAGACAAGAGGGCCTTCTTAAATGAGCAGTGCAAAGAAATAGAGGAAAAGAATAGAAAGGGAAAAACCAGAGATCTGTTCAAGAAAATTGGAGATGTTAAAGGAACATTCTGTGCCAAGATGGACATGATAAAGGACAAAAATGGGAGGGACCTCACAGAAGCAGAAGACATCAAGAAGAGGTGGCAAGAATACACAGAGGAATTATACCAGAAAGATCTGGATGTCCCGGACAACCCAGATAGTGTGGCTGCT